CCAACTAATTGCACCACCTTCAAGGGTAAACATCCATCCCGAAGTGGATTTATTGTCATTTATACTAGTGATCTAACTTGCATCTGAATATTCTTCCAAAACAGTTAGATCTTCAGAATAAAATAAGCCAAAATCTTTAGTTCATTTAAGATAACCTAAAACTCTTCCTATGGTTTTCCAATGACTTATACTAGGCTTACTTGTATATCTCGATAACTTGCAAATAGCAAAAGCTATATCTGGCTTAGTACAATGCATAGCATACATAATACTTCCAACAGCACTAGTATATTCAAGTTGTGCAATTACATTATCTTGATTTTCTGTTAATTTTATACTTGTATCATATGGAGTATTGGTTTCTTTTATATTGAGATATAACTTTGATTAAGAATGAAACCCTTATTATATCTCTTAACTTTAATTCCCAAAATAGTATCAACTTCATTTAAATCTTTCATTTTGAAATTAGAAATCAGATACCTTTTGGTTTAATTCATACTAATCATATTAGTACCAAAAATTAGCATATCATCCACATAGAGACATATTATAACTCCATATTCTTTAGTAAATTTTGAGTAAATGCACTTATTTGCTCCATTATGTTTAAAACCATTGGCTACTATGATTGAATCAAACTTTTCATGCCGTTGTTTAGGAGCTTGCTTTAGCCCATAAAGTGACTTAATTAATTTACAAACTTTATTCTCATTACCTGGAAGAATAAAACCTTCTGGTTGTTCCATGTATATTTTTTCCTTTAAGTCAGCATTTAAAAGGGTTGTTTTAACATCCATTTGATGCACATACAATTTATGAATGGAAGCCAAAGTTATAAGAACTCTAATGGATGTTATTTTAGCTACTGGAGCATATGCATCAAAATAATTTATGCCTTCATTTTGTTTAAAACCTTTTGCAACTAATCTTGCTTTAAAGGTTTGTATAGAACCATCTGTATTATATTTCTTTCAAAACACCCATTTACATCCTATAGGTTTAGAACCTAGAGGTAAATCTACCAAGACCCATGTATTATTGGACATGATTGAGTCCATTTCATCATTAATAGCTTCTTTCCAAAAAGTAACATCTCTTGAAGTCATAGCTTTATTAAATATTTTAGGGTTTTCATCTACATTTAGTAGAATTTATGTTTTCTTAAGCACTTTGGTTCTATTCCCTTCTACTAGGAATACTATAGAATCTGGATAAACAAAAGCAGAAAGCAAAAGATTATCTTTTCTAACTCTTTTGCTTTTTTTAATTTCAACAGAATCATTACTTTCTTTTCTTTTATTTCCATTCGTAGGAATCATTTCAATTTGTTTCTCCTTATCAATTTTGGTATCACATATAAACTTATTTTCCAAAAAAATTTTACATAAATAGATTCAACAATAACATTAGTATTTAAATCAAGAAGTCTATATGCTTTTGAATTCTGTGCATAACCAACAAAAATACTTTTAATACCTCTAGGTCCTAATTTTGATTTATGAGGATGAGGTATTTTATAAAAGGCAATGCACCCCCACACTTTAAAATAATCCAAATTTGGTTTTCTACCATGATTTCAAAGTTCATATGGTGTCTTTATGAATTTCTTTGAAAGAATTCTATTATGCATGTGGCATGCTGTTAAAAGTGCCTCTCGCCAAAGATTCAAAGGTAATTTGGCATTTAACAACATACTATTTACCATATCAACCAAGGTTCTATTTTTCCTTTCGGCTAAACCATTTTGTTAGGGTGCATAAACGGCTGTCCTTTGATGAGTAATTCCATTATCTTCACAAAAAAGAGAAAATGAATCTGAAAAATATTCGCCACCCCTATCTGTTCAAAGAATTTTGATTTTCTTCTCTTTTTGATTTTCAACAATTGATTTTATATTCTTTGAATTTATCAAAGGCTTCATCTTTTGTTTTCATTAGATACACAAAAGTATAACGAGAACTATCATCTATAACTGGTATAAAATACCTTTTTTCTCCTCTTGTTAATAAACCATTTAGCTCACAAATATCAGAATGTATAAGTTCTAATAATTTTGTATTTCTTTCAGCTTTAGAAAAAGGTTTCTTAGTCATTTTTGCTTTGACACAGATTTCACATTTAATGTCATGATTTTTTTGGTATGTTATATAACCATGCTTAGTCATATGATTCATATAATGATAATTTAAATGTCCTAATCTAGCATGCCATAAAAAAGAAAAATGCTCAACAATATAAGTAGAAACATTATTTATTTCATCAATGCTTAGTTTAAACATACCATTATTGGAATATCTTTTTCCAATGAATACACCATTTTTGGAGACTATAACTTTATCAGACTCTAGTACAATCTTAAAGCCTTTTTTACATAATAGATTTGCAGATATAAGGTTCTTTCTAATCTCAGGAACATGAAAAACATTAATTAGAGTTAGTTTATGCCCTGAGGTGAATTTCAATTTAACCGTTCCTTTTCCATCACTTTAGCAGGAACATGATTTCCCATAAGGATGTTTTCTGGTTTCTTGCATTCTTCATAAGTCTTGAATTAATTTTTGTTGTTGCAAACATGAATTGCTGCACCAGAATCTAGCCACCAATCAGATGACTTATTTGTAGTAGCCATGTGAACTTTGGCGATCATTCCAATTTGCATGTTAGTTACCATTGCAACAAGTTCATTAATTTCTTGCTCAACCAAATTTGCCTTGCTTTTAGAACTAGAACCAATCTTAATTCTAGCTTTTTTAAATCTGCAATCTTTAATCAAATGTCCTTTCTTTCCACAATGGAAACACATTTTGTTCTTGTTAAATTTGGACATCTTAAATCCATTCTTCTTGACTTTAAAATTGTTTTGAAATTTACTAAAAGACTTGTGAGTTTTTCCAGAATTTTTTCCACTCACTTAATTCACATTGGAACCTCCAAGGAAGAGTGCATCTCTTGCATGATTTTTTGCTTCAATCTGTATGTGAGTTTGAAATTCTTCAATAGTGAAAGTATCTGTTGAATGTAGAACTTTCTTCCTATATCCATTCCATGAAAGAGGAAGTTTTAACAAAATAGCTCCAACTTGAAGTGAATCAGCAACCTTAACTTAGAGACTAGAATTTGCAACTCGTGCACTTGGTCCATGATTGGTTTATCATCAATTATTGAAAATTCTAAGTATTTCAAAGCCAAAAGCTTATCCGTACCTTTCTTTTCATTCATGTATTTGTGCTCAAGAGCAGTCCATATCTCTTTTGGTGTTTTCATATTTTTGTATAGGTCATATAGACGGTCAGATAATGAATTCAGAATATAATCTCGACAGACTAGTTCATCTTCTTTACGTTTGCTTCTTGTTGCCTTAATAGTATCAGAATCTTCAGGAGTTGGTTTTGGAATTGGTTCCAAATTTGGATCAAGTACATAAAACATCTTCAATACTGTCAATAGAAAAACCATTTTGTCTTTCCACCTAGTGTAGTTTGATCCATTAGAATGATCAAGTCTGTTTACATCTTGATTTTGAAAATGAACCTTCATGCTTGATTCCAAATCCATAGCAGTAGTAGGGATAATAGTAGATGTAGTATCCATAATTGCCTTTAAATTGTTAGTACATTTAAGAAAAACATAAATAGTAAGAAAGAAGAAAATATGGCTTTGAGGCGTGAATAACATTGTCTTAAAAGTAATTATGCCTATAGGATACAACAAAGTCTTAAAACTTTCTAAATCAGAAGTAGTGAAAATGGTTATATTGAAAGATTTATTTATAATGAATGAACAAATATAAACTTCTATTCAGATAGTTATGACATTTTATATAATCATGATCTTTATGAATAACAATCAATTTATATTTAAATAGTTATGACCAATTGTCATATGATAATTATATCTGTTCAATCATAATTATTTAAAATATGAATAAAATTAATATAAAAATTAATTTTATTCATCAATAATTAAATCTTTTTATCCAATATGAGATGCATCACATTCTAAACTACCAACAGTACATATACTTCATATTAAACAAGAAAAAAAAGCAAATAATTTTTATTTTTATAAAGAAAAAAATTTTGATCCCGTGGCATAATAAATTTTCTCGTATATAATATATATATGTATAAAATTATGATATTGCTAATATGATTGAACCACCAACCTGTGCCCTGCTCGATTCCTGTCCCTCTCGACCTGCTGCTCTCTAGAAATTAAAGATAAGACAGAAAAGAAAATTTTAATTGAAATGCCAAGTAAACCCTTAGACAATTGCGAATGACAGCTGAGTCCAATGAACTGAATTGCATATATGGTGATGGCAGAAAATAAATTGTATATGTAGTACTGTGAGGATGGAATAGTATATATAAATTTATGGACAATTAGTATAAAAATGAAATTGTTATAGTCCAATGAATCCATATACGTAAATCTTTATTATTATAATATAGAATTCATGATGTGTTTAAGTAGTGATGATGCATTTTGGGACAATAATTTACAGTTGTTGCAGCTGCCAGGCATCTTCTTTTTATGCCTTTGATATTCTTTGCTTCCCACGACATCTAGCAGCAGAATTTATTTTTTAATATAAATATTGTTCTCAAGCCTGACCGTCACGTTATTGCAGTTGAAATCTACTCTAATTGATTTTTCATGTAAACCAAAAACGGTATATAAATTAAAAAAAAAAAAGAAATTGTAAAGCCGTGAGCCCAGCTTACCTTGGTGGAAAAAAAAAAAAAAAAGGTCAAAGTTGTAATGTGGTTTCAAATGGTTAAGAACTCTTTGTTGTCTCCGGATTTCTGCCAAATACAGTGGAATCTTAGCGAGCTTGCTTTGCAAACTTCGTCAACCAATAATATTAGTGATTTACTAAAGAAAGGTATGACTTGATGCAGTCGAGTTTTCATTCCTTTTGGGAGCATTTCATCATCTTTGGATCATCGACAAGGCAAAGACCAATGACTTAATTAGTGATTTGTTCAAACGAAATGGCGGCCGTGAATTTAGCTCTAAAACTTCTTCTATCACTGTTTACATCTATTACGTTGTGGAGTGGTGTCCTTGCCTTGATACCAATTATAGGTGATTACTACCCGATTGAACGAGACGCTTTGCTGCAACTGAGGGATTCTGTTGATTCTCCAAACTTGCACTCAAATTGGACAGGGCCTCCTTGTATGAACAATCAAAGCAGATGGGGTGGCATTGCTTGCTCTGATGGACATGTCGTACGTCTTGTTCTTGATGGAATTCATCTAACAGGATCTCTCCCGCCTGCATTTCTACAGAACTTAACGCTCTTGACTAAATTAAGCCTCAGAAACAATTCAATTTTCGGACCACTTCCGAATCTGACCAAACACGTACAATTGGAACATGTTTTTCTCTCGCATAATCTGTTTACGGGTCCAATCCCTTTTGATTACATTCAGTTGCCAAGCTTGAAGAAGATGGAGCTGCAACAGAATTATTTACAAGGTGAGATTCCGCCTTTCAATCAACAAAACTTGGTAGCTTTCAACGTTTCTTATAATAGTCTTCAGGGCCCAATTCCTCAGACCGATGTTCTTCAAAGGTTCCCAAAGAGCTCTTATCAACATAACTCAGGTCTTTGCGGCAATCCATTAAAGAAACGATGCCCGGTTCCACCTACCCCATCCATTTGTCCGACTCCGACACCACCGATCAGCAGCAAAAAGAGTTTTGAATTACGGAATTTAGCTTTTATTGTGGCTGTTTCTGTCCTGGTTCCTTTCTTAGTTATTTTTGGGTTTCTATGGTATTGTAAGAGAGTGCATAGAAAAGAAACAGCTAAAAACGCAGGTATGTAGAAGTACTATATGTATTTGACATAACATATTAGAACCTAATTTTAATTAAAATTTCTTTGAATGTTATGTTTGCTATAGGATCGGCAGAGAAGAAAATGAGTCCTTCTCCAAGGGCGGAGGATCCAGAAAGAACAGCTGAATTAGAATTTTTTGACAAGAATATACCAGTATTTGACTTGGATGATTTGCTAAGGGCATCAGCCGAAGTCGTAGGCAAGGGAAAATTCAGCACTACATATAAAGCAACCTTGGAATCAGGTCTTGTTGTTGCGGTGAAGAGAGTCAAAGACATGAATGGCTTGAGCAAGAAGGAATTTATTCAGCAGATGCATTTGCTAGGAAAGCTTAGGCATGAAAACCTGGCACAGATCATTTCTTTCTACAATTCCAAGGAGGAGAAGCTGATAATCTATGAATTCATACCTAATGGCAACTTGTTTGAGTTATTGCATGGTCAGTTTTAGTTCTTGCCTCTCCATTTTCATCTTGACCAATTTTTTTTTTCCCCACAAGATGATAAAAACTTAGTGCACATATGCCAGAAAATAGAGGTTCCGGAAGAGTACCACTGAATTGGGCTACAAGACTGTCTATAATCAAAGATGTAGCAACGGGCACGAATTTCCTTCACCAATACTTACCTTCTCACAAAGTACCTCACGCTAATCTGAAGTCTTCCAACGTTCTGATCCATCGCCAAAACCAAAACTACCGTTCCAAGGTCACAGATTATGGTTACTACCCATTGCTACCATCTCGAAGATCCTCAGCTAGGCTAGCAATTGGCAGATCACCAGAATTCTCTCAAGGAAAGAAGCTAACGCATAAAGCCGACGTTTATTGCTTTGGTGTTATCTTACTCGAAATCATAACTGGCAGGATCCCAGGAGATGAAATTTCCTGGGCGAATGAGGAAAGAGTGGCTGACCTTTCGGAGTGGGTTAAAGCTGTAGTAAATGATGATTGGTCTACCGATATATTGGACGTAGAGATTTTATGTGCAAGAGAAGCACACGATGAAATGCTGAAGCTTACAAATTTGGCTTTGGAGTGTACAGACGTGGCACCAGAGAAGCGGCCAAAAATGAGTGAGGTTTTGAGAAGGATAGAAGAAATCGAGGAAAGAAAAAGTGATAATGACTGACATTAGTTATTATTTTTTACCTTGCACAATAATCGTTGCGGGGATGATCATAAGTATGTTTAGTTTTTTTTTTTTATTGGTGGGGGGGTGGGGCGGGGCGTAGGGGAACCCTTTTAATTGTAATTAAGAAAAATAAAGCCTGTACGGTGTAATGGTAGTATCATTACATTTACAGTAAAATTCTATACTTTAAGTAGTAAAATTCAATAATTCTTTTTATTCCAATGCATATATATCCCTAACATAAGCTTCTTGTAATGGTAAGGTTTTTTTTTTTTTCTTTTTCTAAGTCAGAAAACTTTTTATTAAGGAATAAAACCATGACTCAATCCCATGATACAACCAGGGTAGGAGTCAGACACCATCAAAACTAAAAAATAAACAATCCAAAAATAGGAGAACAGTAGAAAACACCAAAAAATTCCCATACTCGCAATAAAGATGATCTCCTACCACCAAGCAATGAACATTTCATTTTGATCTACTCCTTTTGCCAAAGAGTTCGTCATCCCATTTGCTCCCCCAACAAACATTTATCAACCTTGCTTCTTTCAACTCACCAGCTAATGAATCAATCATTAAGAAAATGTCTCATGGTCTCCAAAGTCTGGATTTCACCTTCTCACATCAAGACCCCTCCAGCTTTGAATTTGATTCAATAATAAATCCCACTCTCTACAATCTTTTCATAAACACCTCAAGTGCAACTTTATTGGCCAACAATTCAGCTACATTAGAATTTGACTCCCACAGGCCCTGACAACATATCCAAGACATAACCTCCCTAATTTCTCAAAACTCCATCGCACCTAGCAGGCCCTGGCTTTCCTCTTACAGACCCATCAACATTAAACTTAAGGAAGCCACAAGGGAGAGGAGCCCACAGAATTAGAACTCTTTTATTAATCCCAGCAGCCAACGGACAACAATTCCCAAGATTATTCCACCACATACCTTCTGAAATAGAAACAACCTCCCAAATCTCCTTAATTCCATATAGAGAACGTAATTTTACAAGACAGAGAGCTCATACATTGTCACACTTGTGATCAAATACATGCTTATTCCTAGCTAATCAAATGGACCAAAGTGCAACAGAGATGGACGCTAACCACCATGCTCTTAGAACCCTAGAGAGAAATGTATCAAAGCAATTAATATAATAAAAAAATAGCCTCAATAATTGCGGTTTACACGACTCCAGACTCCACCATTGAAAAAATTTATACCAAAACTTAATTACAATTAAACAGAACATGTACAATACATTCCTCAACAATCAAACTCCATGGACACAAACTTTGAAGATGAGAAATTGCAAAACCTATCCTTATCAAAACAGTCTTACTAGGGATCTTATCAAGGACCACAAGCCACAAAAAGCATTGAAATCTCGAGGGAATTTTCATCTACCACAATTTACAAAATTTGAATGTGACAGGGGCATTAGAGAAAGAGTTCATAAGGTATGAAATATTTTTCTCAGAGAACGTACCCTATATATCATGTTCCCATATATACTTGGCAGGGAACAAAAAGACACCATCAATCATGGAGCACAAGTCCTAAGCATAAGATATATCCCACCCAAAGAGAGATCTCCCCAAGAATCCTTGCCAACATCAAGTGTAAAGCCTCAAAAACCAAAAAGAAAAGAAAATGGAAGAGTGGATCACTTTGTCACAAGCCTCGCTCCCATTGAAACTGATTCATAGAAGACCCATTAACCAACACCACCACCCAAGCCGTTGAAATACACTCCCAAATCCAACTCCTCCTAGTCACACCAACTCCCATCGACTCCATAACTTGTTCCAAAAACTCTCATGATATACTATCATAGGCTTTTTCAAAGTCCAACTTCAAAACTACACCTCCTTCATCCCTTGCATTGTCCTTTTTAAGAAAATCGATCACCTCACTTTCCAAATGAACTCCATTCATCATCTATTTTCCTATGATAAAAGCACACTTAGTATCATTATTAAGTTGCATATCATTATCTTCAACCTCCTTGATAAGATTTTTCCTAGGATTTTATACAAGGAGTTGATTAGATTGACGAGCCTATCATCTTTAGTGACAATGGGCTATCAACTTTTGGTATTAGGATAAAAAAGAAGAGTTAATGATTGTTCCTTTTTATGAGGTTGCAAATGCATAGTGTTGTAACAGTTTTGTGTTCGTTCGACGAATTTGGAAACGAGAAATAAAAAAGAGTCGCTATTAATCTTTTTTGGCTAGGTGCGATTGACCACATATTAAAACATATCCTTTTAATGAAATCTTAAAATTAATTAAAATTTATTAAAAAGATAATTTTATGGTTTGCGAAACAGTCTGGGTTCGGGAGTCAGTTACGTGTGGGGAAGGATTAGCACCCCCACAGAGCCCGTTTAAGACGATACTAATTAACTAAATGTTATCCTTCGATTTTGATAAAAATAGTCTTATTTTCGGTATTTGAAAATTAATTTTCTTGATTTTTTTTATTTTTTATTTATTGTTTTTATATTCAAATATTATTTGAGAAAAATATATTAGAACCTTTTTATTGAAATTATTCTTAAAATGTTCCAGTACGTTGGTAACATTAGAAGAACTATTTCTCACCTAGAGATTTCTTAGGCATCACTTCTCGGAATACCTCAGAATCTCATCTTTGGAGGTCCGAATTTACTTTTCATAAAAAATTATGTCATGTATGCAATGCAAATTATAATATGTTGATGCACATATTTTATTCTCTTTTCCAAAAATTTTATTGTTTTATTAATTTTTTTTATTTTTAATTTTGAAAAAAAAAAATTTATTGTATTGAAGATTTTCTATAAATATTTCGATACACTGGTAATATTTAAAAAAATCTTCTCACCTAAGGATTTCTTAAAGGATCTCTACTCGAAAAACTTTTAGAATCCCATCATTGAATAAAATTTCTTTTTTTTCTTGTTTATATTACTTATTCTTAATTTATTAATTTTTATTTATTGTTAACAAAAAGAAAATTTTTATTGTATTGAAAAATTTTTATAAATACTCCAATATATTGGTAGTATTTTAAAAACAATTTTCTTACCTAGAGGTTTCATAGGCATCACTACTCGGAATACCTTTAAATCTCATCATTGGATAAAATTTTTTTTTCTTATTTTTTTTATCAATTTTATATTATTAAATAAAAATTTATTTTGGTAAATTTAAATATTTTTACATGCATAAATATTACTAATAATAATTAAAATAACAAAAAAATATATAAAAAATCTTTAAAAAAATTTTTTTTTTACCTGAACTAGACCGTTGACGCGGGTCCATCGGATTGACAGTTCGGTTCGGTCTGGCGATTCAAGGATGGTTCGGCCCATCTGGATCGTTCAGATGAGCCAGTTAGGGGTCAAAAGGGAATGGGTCATCGGGTTGGTTGCTCAGATTTTGGGTCGAGTTGCGAGTCAATATGTAGATCCTTAGGTTTCAAAACGGCGTCATTTTGGGCATTATTGAAACGACATCATTTTAGGTTTAGTCTTTTATATAAAAGTCAAAAAAAATTTTTCATTCATTCTTTTCCTTCATAAGAAAAAAAAACTTTTTTAATCAGCCAGAAAAAAAATCATCGTCCACATTGTCGGTGGTTGAAAAATTCCACAATCTTCCAAAAGTTTCCTTTTTTCGTTCTCGTTCCAAATCTAACCTTATTTTCACCAGAAACAACCATGATAAGCATAGATTGGGGCTTAAACTTTCGAGTTTTTTTAAACTAAAACTAATTTTTTTTTAGATAGCTTTTCGGTGCTGGATTCCCCATTCCAGAGGACTGTTTCTACCTTTTTTTGTTTTTGTAAAATGGCTTTGTTTTTTTTTTTTTTACAAAAAGCTTTTTTAAAAATTTTTTTTTCGTCTTCTTTTTTTCAATTCCTTTTTTCTCCTCCTTTGTTTGCAGATAACAAGCTTTATTTATAGAGCTTTTTGGGATTCAAATCTCAGATCTTCTGAGATTCAAATCTCATTTTTTTCAATTGAAAATTCACACTTGCCATGTGTGAGAGACGACTTATCAGTCGACCGTTGGCAGTTAACGACAGTGATTTTGGACTTTAAGAATTATGCATTTAATGCACTAGATTTGAACCGGATAAGGAAGAAGAAGAAAGAAAAAGAAAGAAGAAAAAGAAATAGAAATAGAAAAAAAAATATATTAAATAATAATAATAATAATAATAATAATAATAATAATAAAATGGTGTTTATAGTTGCCCCTCTTTGCCTATTTCTGTGAATCAAGAATAAGACGAAGACAAACAACCATTTTGTTTGGAAAGATGAAACATTAAGCAAATTTTTTTTCTTTTTTCTTCGACAGAAAAGGGCTCCTCTAAACAAAGGTTTAATCGATATTTTTGAAAATTTAAAAGGCTCCTCTTAGCAGAGGCTCAACAACTTTAAAAATTTTACATGAAAAAGCTCCTCTCAACAGAGGCTCAACAACTTTAAGAATCTTTCATCTTGGAAAAGCTCCTTTCAGTAGAGGCTCAACAACTTTAAAATTCTCTTGAAAAAGCTCCTCTCAGTAGAGGTTCAACAACTTTAAAATTTTTATCTTGTAAAAGCTCCTCTCAACAGAGGCTCAACAACTTTAAAAATCTCTCATCTTGGAAAAGCTCCTTTTAGCAGAGGCTCAACAACTTTAACTTTAAAAATCTGATCTTGGAAAAGCATAGGCTCAATAATTTTAAAATCTCATCTGAAAAAGCTCCTCTCAGTAGAAGCTTAACAATTTTAAATTTTCAGTGTGGAAAAGCTCCTCTCAGCAGAGGCTCAACAACTTTAAAAATCTCATCTTTGAAAAAGCTCCTCTCAGCAGAGGCTCAACAACTTTAAAATCTCATTTTGGAAAGAGCTCTTCTCAATAGAGGCTCAACAACTTTAAAAAATTTTCATCTGTTTTCAAATTTGAGTTCTCATCTTTGAACAAGTAAATTTTCCTCTTTTGAATTCTT